AACACAAACACAAACACAAACACAAACACAAACACAAACACAAACACAAACACAAACACAAACACAAACACAAACACAAACACAAACACAAACACGGTTTCTGTGTTCTTCCTTTTAGACAACAGATATCCATTGACTGACCCTGTCAACTTCCTCTTCCTGCTTTCTTTTTTAAGGAGTCACCCGACCAATTGGCTTCCTGCCTTTGGTCAGGTGACAGAGCAGCAGATCCTTCACTCACACCAAACAGTCATTTTCGGGCAGCCACACCTCCCCGGGCAGAGAGGCACGTAGAGATGAGGCTGTCGCGGCCTGGCTGCTGTGGCAAACATCGGTCTCCTCCGCTATTTCCAGAGCAGATTGGTGGCACTGTGGCTAAGAATCTGCGCCTGTGGCTGGAAGGTTGCTGGTTCAAATCCCACAGCTGGCAGAGGAATCCTATTCTGTTGGGCCCCTGAGCAAGGCCCTTACCCCCATCTACTCCAGGGGTGCTATACAGTATAAATGGCTGACCCTGTGCTCTGACCTCAAGTTTCTCTCTCTCTGCCTGTGTGTCTCATGGAGAGCAAGCTGGGGTATGTGAAAAGATAAATTCCTAATGCAAGAAATTGTATAGGGCCAATACAGTAATCTTAATCTTTCCTTCTGCCTCCAGTACCTTGTGCTCTTCCACCTCTGTACACCCGCAATACGTCCTGCTGCTGACGCCACTGTCATGAAAAGTTACTGACACACAAAACACAATGGTGTGTTGAGAACCAAACGTTTGATGCCCTTATTGAATACATAGCTGAGTACCTGTGAACTACTGAGCCTCCAGAGGATTTCTGGAGCAAACACTTCTCCACTTGCTTTTACCCTTAGTTCCCTCTCCAGGAAGTACAGCACCTTCCAGTTCCAGTGTCAGCTGCTCCGGCCCCAGCGTTTCTCCCTGTGAGTCTCACTGGCGAGTGTGGGGAAATAGAGACTACTACAATATTATGTTCCTCTACTAACTATCTAAGGCATATCTGGACAGTTTCCACTCTTATGTTCTATTCATCATGCCATTGAGCCCTAAATTACTTCTGTGATGTTTAGCAGGGTTTCACCATGTGTTGTTCAGATCTTCCAGATCTCCAGTATGTTTCTAGTCCTGCTCTGTAGCCTGTTTATTCGGCCTTTGTTTTCAATTATTTGTTCTGAAACACGACAGATGTAAAGATGTGATTCTAAATCATAATTATACAAAAAGCTAGCAATAATAATTGCTTACACTTATATAGCGCTTTTCTGGACACTCCACTCAAAGCGCTTTACAGGTAATGGGGACTCCCCTCCACCACCACCAATGTGCAGCATCCACCTGGATGATGCGACAGCAGCCATAGTGCGCCAGAACGCTCACCACACATCAGATATCAGTGGGGAGGAGAGCAGAGTAATGTAGCCAACTCATAGAGGGGGATTATTAGGAGGCCATGATTAGTAAGGGCCAATTGGAAATTTGGCCAGGACGCCGGGGTTACACCCCTACTCTTTTCGAGAAACACCCTGGGATTTTTAATGACCACAGAGAGTCAGGACCTCGGTTTTACGTCTCATCCGAAGGACGGCGCCTGTTTACAGTATAGTGTCCCCGTCACTATACTGGGGCATTAGGACCCACATGGACCGCAGGGTGAGCGCCCCCTGCTGGCCCCACTAACACCTCTTCCAGCAGCAACCTTAGTTTTTCCCAGGAGGTCTCCCATCCAGGTACTGACCAGGCTCACACCTGCTTAGCTTCAGTGGGTTGCCAGTTGTGAGTTGCAGGGTGATATGGCTGCTGGCCACAATTCCACTGTTAGTACAGGTCAGGTTTGTCAAATACCAGACATTTCAATCCATAGCAGTACAAGATCTGTGTACAAACATCTCCTTTTTGATTAGCATAATACAAATTAATTACAATTTATAATGAAATAGTTGGCTCTTTCAAAAACCTGCACTGAAAGGGAGTGAAATGTCCAGTATTTGACTACGGCAACAAAAAGATTTTAATCTCATCTGTAGTAATATGTTCTCCCATAAGAGGGCAGTGTTGTATAAAACCTAATATTTTAACAATTTATCTCAACGTATTTCTCCATGAAATATTCTGGCTATTGGTTTTTAAACTTTTCAACTTGCCTTCAGTTTGTCATGCATGTATACTAGATGATCTTTTCAAATATAGTATATACTCATTTTAAAACACTTTTGCCTCTTCCCTAGATCAAAGGCAAGGAATTATACAGTGAGTCATGTAAAATGAATGTGTTGCTAGATAATATCACATTTCTGTATACAAAAAGTACATTGATCTCACATTTGCCATGTAAAAATATTTGTAAGGGTACTGTATGGGCAATATTTCACAAATCCCTCATTTTATGTACTAAAAAGTGCAATTAATAATGAACCGCTAAACTGCTTTTCATCATCATCCCTGTTCACCTCTGTTCTGCATCCAAAAGAACTAAAACTAATGCTGCAATAGTTAGGTGTAACACTGATACAAGCAATGCACTGCTATCAAAATATAATGAGACCAACAAAATGCTATGCACTAAACCTTTTAATTAGTTTTTAAATATTAAAAAGTAAAGTTTATTTTTCTAAAAGGCATCAATGCATCAATTCAAAAATCATATGCTATCCTTTACTAAGTTCAACTTTCAAACCACAATCATTATTTTTTAATGTAAACAGAAAAAAGAAATCCTGTGTTGTAAGTGAATGAAATTTAAACCAACATTATAATGTAAGGACAGTGTTTATTTTAGTTTTACTTGGGATAAGAAGATTAATGGGGATTGTAAAATTCTTTGCTAAAGGTGAACTGTGGGTTCTTGCATAGACAATCAAGATTATAGATTACAGAATCTTTTCTGCGTTCTTAGGAAAACACTGTGTCAGATGACTGAGAAATACGATAAATGTCATTTTCTTTCAATAAACATTAAGCCAGACTGGCACGGTGGCATTGTTGCTCTGTAGTGCTTAGACGTGGGGTGCTGTCTTTGTGGAGTTGTGGGTGATGGGTGCTCTGGTTTCCACCCTGTCCAAAAACATACTGGTAGGTTCATTGGCTTCTGGGAAAACCAGCCCGTGTGCATGTCTGTGTTTGTGCCTGTCTGCCCTGCAGTGGACTTGTTCGCTGTCCAGGGTGTAAACTACCTCGCACCTGTTGCTTGCTGGGATAGGCTCCCAGCCTGAATGGGAAGAAGTGGTTAGAAAAATGGATGGATGAACAGAAATATTAAGACAATCCAGCCATTGTCAAAAAGTCCACAAAATGTTTTGGAACTGAAGTGGTTCCTTTCTACTTACAAGATAAATTGACAGACAAGCAATGAGTTTTGGCTCTTCATATCTGAAAACCCTTTGATTGCTTTCCCACATACAGTACATGCCCACAGCTCTGGACAATGATCTACTTTACATAAAGCACTGCTATCAAAATAAAATGAGACCAACAAAATGTCATGCACTTAACATTTTTATTAGATTTTAAAATACCAAATCCTATTACTCATACTTGTGTGGCTTCATTAATGAAATAGCGTGCTGTAAAATGGAACCCTAAATTACAAGTAATTATTAATTTTAAATTAAAATTAATTGAGCAAGAATATAGGCAAGAGAGGTTGGGAATTAATGGTAAAATGTCCACTATTCCCTTACTATTATACATAACCCTTTCCAACTCTCCAGACATTGTTTCCCAACTCTACTTCAATTTTTGATGCTGGAAGCAGTATTTCTTGCCAGTTCAACAAAGAATAGAAATAAAATTATGACTGCATTTAGTCTGGATGTAGCCAGATGTAATTCGTTAAACAATAATGTTGAATATATTGCTTAACTTCCAAATTGTCATTTTAAATTAAGATATAGTGTTGAAGGATTTTACCTTTTACTTTGAATCTTTATTTTGAAATAACCCTAGGTGCTTTCAATTAAAATATTGCAGCACTATGCAAAAAAAATCCTTATTGGATTGGAATTCGTCTTTGCCTTTCTATTCACCAAGTTCTTTTGCCATGGGAACAGGTCTTCATTACAAAACCATCCTTTGTTTTGTGTCATTTTCAAGCAATTATATTCAGTAAAATTAGGCAGATACAAGTCCTGTTTGTCATTAGCAATGCAAGAGCCTCTTTAGCAGTTGAAAAAAGCAGGATGATGCAAACAAATAAGGACATATGAAGTGCATGAGCAAGGAATGACGTGTTTTAAGACTGAATTAATAAGCATATTTTAAAATTATATTATACTCAAATAAATCCACTGGGATAATGCTCTTAATTTAAGGTTTCCACTTAGTCATACACATTTTAAACAAGAACAAAATCTTTACTCATCCAGTATTTTGGAAAGATAATACTCCATTCTCCTTTGTCGACAAATGGCTTCTGGAAGATGACTTGTAATAATGTTAGTATTGATTTTTTAGAGTTAATGTTTTTGTTTTGCTTTGATAAAAATGAAAATTGATCACAAAAAAGGACAGGCACTTGGAGGGAAAGTTCTGTTTTTCAACAAATCTGATCATAAACCTTTAGTTAGATTCAAATTACGTTAATCTCTTTATAAAGAAAACAAATTGAAATTTATGTGTTAAACCTGATCTCTAAATGTTAAGAAACAAGATTTACAGGACAATGAAAGTGCAAATGGTAATAATATACAACGGGAACTGATTAAGACAAAAAGATGTCTATAAAGCACAAAAGCTTTGTGATGGAAAACATTAAAAACATAGCTACATTAAAAACCTAAGAAAAAATATCAGCATTTTTATTTTTCAAAAAGTTTTTCAATAGTTTGTGCTGAATATTCCTTTTGCAGTGGTTCTTTCAGCA